TTACTATTATTCCTGGTATTAGTATAACCATCATCACCGCTTGTTTCTGTCACTGCCTCCTCACCTATCAATGATATAATTATGTATAAATTAATTTTTTTATTCAGATTTAACATAATTTATCCACAATTATCTTTAATTAGTTTTATAAATGTCAGAGAAAATTAAAAATTAACTTAGAATTATTATTCCATACTTTAATTTTTTACGCAACTCAAATATATGAAGTATAATTTTGAATCAGTTCTAATTTTGTAAAATTGAAAATTTAATTATAAACTACAATTTAAGTTTCATATGCCGTACGAATCCTTAGAGAGCTCACCACAAAGTTTTTATTTTATTTTTTACTCAACCATATACAATGTATACATATATGTGTACGTCTGTACATAATTATATACATTTGTAAGAGTTTTATCAAACCATTTTACTCCTTTGCTTCTTATTGCTATATATGATGGTGGAAAATGATGAGAAATGAAGAGAGTCGTAAAAAAAAATTCAAACATTGAATGTAATTTTTACTGTTAAAATATAATTTAAAGCACTATAATAAAAATAAAAATAATATACACCCATGATTTTTCATACTAAAATAGTATTATTTTTTGTAACTAAAAAATAGTACACTTTAATTGTAATTATAATTCTCTGGACCCGTTGCATGTGCAAGTTTGTCAACAACGACTACACATATAAATAAATGCACGAAGCCTTTATGAAAATGAATCATAGATAATTTCACAAATTTTATAAAATAAAGAGTGAAAATAAAAATTATGTGATGATTATTCTTATTTATTAGATTTTAAATAAGAGAAATGATTTATAAAGTCTCTAAAAAAATTTTAATTCTATGTTTTTAAGTGTTTTAAAGTGATGAATTTTGTATTAAACTTTCTTCTTTTTCTCTTCTTTTATTATCCTTTGTTTTTTTTCTCTAAACTCTAATTGTATTTTAGTGAATTTTTTTAAAATTAATATTTATTTAGAATAATTGTTGTGGTAATAATATGACATTGAATAAAAATTTTAATTATTTCATCTATTTAAATTATCTCGTGAAGGTTTATAAATAATTTATACTATTTAAAAAAAACTGTATTATCTATTAAGTTGATCAATGCTAAGGTTATTGTCATTTTTATTTTGTGTTTCATAGAGCAATACTACTACCTACGTCTTTTTCATATGTCATTTTGAAGAAAAAAATCTATTTATTTGTTATTGAAAACTACAATATAATATTTATTACTGTGATTTCAATTATACACTTATAAGAAAATAGAAAAAAATCAATATATTATATGAAATATGAGAGAAATAAAGGACATATATTAAGAAAGTGTTAATGATTTTAATATAAATGAGCAAATGAATTGGTTTTCTTAATTCATTTGTTATAGCCATAAACTATAGACATAAAAAAGAAAAAGTTATTAGAGGGTATTTGGAATATTGGAATTCACCCTTTAGTTATTTATTGAATTTCACTAATGTGTAGAGTAGGCTATCTCAACATTTGCTAGGTTTGGTATTGTCTGCCTATGCTACCAAGGCACTTGGTAAGAAATCTAGATGACGTATAATATGTGTATGTTTAAACATTTGCTCGGGGAGGTATTTTCTAGTTTTGTTTTTCTTATCATCACATAGAAAAATGTTAACGGCATTCTTCAATCTTGTTTAGTAGACCTTCGAAATTCAGTTAATAATTATCTTTTTTTATCTATTTTATGTATCATAAGAAAGAGATCAAAATTATACTAGAATAAGTTAAATTCTCTTTTACATTAGTTTGATAGCTTTTCATTGGATATTTTATTTTTAAAACTGACTATTTAATTAAAAATTTTAATCACATAAATTATATCAATAAAATTTTATATAATTTTAAATTATTTAATATTTATATATATATAAATTAATGTAATATGTTTTTTAAAATATATAAAAATAAAAATATTTGATTACATTGTCATAATTGTTCAATTTTAACAAAATTTAATATATATAATTATAACTTTATAATTTGATAAAATTATTTTTTATATAGAATTATTAATAGTGTAAGAGTCTTTCCATATATATATATATATATATATATATATATATATAATATAAATAAAATAAAATATTTTTATTTAATATACTTAAATATAAAATTAATGTCATATATTTAATTATTAAAATAATTGTTCTTTTAATCTAAATATATAGTTACTTTGTTAATTATTAGTCTTATTTTGTATCGGATAATAAGTTTCAAAAGTCTTGATAAAGTAATATCAAATGTCAAATTTAAATGTTTAATAACTTTTCATGTAAGATTAACTTAATCAACGGTTAAAATATTTTTTCTTATTTTTATAATTATGTATATCAAATTTTACATAATTTATATAATTATATGTATATTATCTAAAATTTAATATTTATAAATTAATATATTTAATAAAAATATTAAAACTAACGATTAATTAATTAATTTTATATTTTATAAAGAGCCATTAAACAATATAAGTGTTAAAATATGATTGGAAAAGATTTGAATCCAAGTTTTAAACTTGTTTGATGCAATGTATTAAAGCATTGAATTTAAGCGAAGGCGGCGAAAGGCTCCAAATATAAGGAACAATTAAAACCAAAATATAATTTGGTAGGTTTGGTTGAATCAAATAGTCTTGTTGGAATCTTTAAAACATTAATTTCATGACTGAAGAAGTGTTCAAATATTGTTGTCGTGCTCATGGATTGCACATTTTAATCTTTTTCTTTTGTCAGCAACCACATTAGAGGTTAGCAAAGAGATTTAGTTGTTTCATTAATGGAGAATAGATAATCTACAAAATCGACCTTAAATACTCTTTTAAGAGACTCAATTTATCCTTATATATTCAAAATCCTCATTCTACTCCACACAATAATATTTTTAAGGGTTAAGTACAAAAAAACTCTCTGGAATTTGCGTAATGTTCAAACTACTTGCTCCATGTAATTTAGAAAGCTATATTTTACTACTTCTATGATTCTCACTTAATTGCAATTCAAATTTTTAAAAAAATAATCAAATTGATATTTTTAAGATGAAAAGAGAAAACTATCCTTACTATTATGTCTAAATTCCTTTATCTTTTATTTGAACAGTTGAAAAAAATAAAAAATAGAGTGATAAAAAAAATGCCTACATAAAACTCTAAATTTTAAAAGAAAATATTTTTTGTACTTGTTGGGTGGTACCGTAAACTTAAAAAAGTATTGTGTATTTTCTTTATATTAAAAGTTGTGATTTTTCTAATATTTTAAATATAATAAAGTATTGATTTTTTTAATTAAATTAATAATTTTATTATTTATTAATATAAAATTAATACTAAAAATTATTTTACGTGTAAAAGAAAATATCAAATTCTCTCAATTAGAAAGAATAAATAAATTTTACCAATATTTTTTTTATGAGTTATCATATTGAAAGTAAATATTACTTACTAGAAAAAAAAATTAAAGTCTTCAAAATAAGAATTTATTACCTTTTCATCTAGTTCTGATTAAGCGCCCTTACTAATATATAATTTAATAAATTATGCATCATACTGAATATGTTGATTTTTCTAATTATATATACATTTTTTTAACATAATCACATATTTCCTTGCCACATATACAATGTCTTAATTTAACGACAACGATAAGATTATAAACAACACAAGAATAATTTAGGTTTTTTATGTTTTTGGTTTTGCTTAGAAACGTTATTCAAATCACAGACAGAAGAACCTTTTCAGAACATAATAATACGGGTGATTTATATGTTTATTGAAAAACATTAATTTAAAAATATAAGTTTTTAAACTTCTCTGAGTTAATTTTTAAACGTTAAACAAATTGGAGTAAGGTTTTTGTATTTAGCTTTTTTGAGAAAACAAAGTCACTATCTCGCCCACGTAATTGCAGAATAAAAAGATTTCTTGCAGTGATTTCTTGTGATGTGCCGTGTGCTCGTGAACTGTCCCTTGAAGGTAGAGAACTTATATTTGGAATCAGCAATTGACATGCACCAGAGCTTGAATCTCACACTTAACAATGTTGTTTCGTTTGGGCAATGGAACATGCATGGGTCCATGATTCCATGTCCATCCCACCACCGTAAATGTTATCCCAAAATCCTAATACACATCACGGGGCCACAAATTTGTATGGACATGACAAGTTAAATTATTATAGTAACCATACCCTTGTTCGCATGATTCTGGTTATAGTTCATTTCATCTTAAAAATGATACAATTTGTGGCCCCACAACATAGCGTGACAGTGACTCGTGAGCTTCTGGCTCTTTACAGTTCTACAGTCATCTACCAGACCCACCCCATGAGTAATTGGACATAGCTACCCTTTAGTCTCTTCCTTCTTGCTTCACTGCCACGTTTATTCAGAGTGTGACGTTGTGGCATTTCTATCACCATTATTCCCTGCTGCGAGTGATTATGTTCAGACATGGAAAATGCTTCTCCAACAATTGTTTTCTTTTACTTTATATATGTTTTTTATTACATGGATACGTACGGAAAAATAAGAATAGTTAATTATTGAAATAAAAATTAATAACATTATTAACATGTAAATATAAAAAACTCAGCTTTAAATTTTTTGAGTTAGATAAAATTTACATAATTTATTCGTTGCTCAATAATATATTTAAGCTCCTTGTATGCATTTGACAATGATATATTTAAGCCCCTCGTATGGAGTTGACCGAAAATAAAAAAGAAAAGCCCCTCCTATATGCCTTAACATAAAAACGAAGGGATCCAACTATAATAAAATGCGGGTATAAAAGTTAAAACAATTTATTTTAATACATAGACTATTGATTCATAAACGAGAGTGAATAATTATAAAAATAAAAAGCATTTTAACCAAAAATAAAAAGTGTAAAGATAAATATATCAATCTTTTTTCCTTTTTAAAGATTCATACTTCCTAAGCAGAAAGACACTCGCCATTGAAAACAAAGCGAGACTCTAGACTGGGTTCAATGTGATTTTGAAGTTAACATCCTTGTCTTACACCGCATTGACAGAGAAGAAAAAGCAAAGACTTGAGATAAGAATGATGAAGAATCGCTTCTTTCTGGTCTTTTTAGTTCTCTATATGATAGTAGAATGGGGGATCTCACTCAAAATAGAAGCTGATGATGGGTTTGTTAAAGCAAGAGGGGTGCAGCTTATGCTGAATGGGAGCCCCTACTATGCCAATGGTTATAATGCCTATTGGTTAATGTATGTGGCCTCTGATCCATCTCAAAGAAACAAGGTGTCATCAACGTTTCAAGAGGCTTCAAACCATGGACTTAACATAGCCAGGATATGGGCTTTCAGTGATGGTGGATACAAACCCCTACAACACTCGCCTGAATCCTACAATGAGGACATGTTCCTGGTTAGTTTCATTCTGATCTCCATTTTTTAATTCTCAATGCATTATTTGATTGATCTCAGTTAGATTTAAGATCGTTTAATTTAGTTAAATTTATTTTTTATTATTAATTTTAATTGCATGGTTAAGATTAGTTCTTTAATATGTATAAATTATTGTCCAATTGCTGTATACTTTTAGTAGTCGTAATAATTATATTTTTGCTTTGTGTTACTGACTTTGCTTTGTTAAATTGATATAATAATAGGGGTTGGACTTCGTAATATCTGAAGCTAGAAAATATGGGACAAAGCTGGTGTTGAGTTTGGTGAATAACTATGATAACTTTGGTGGAAAGAAACAATATGTTGACTGGGCAAGAAGTCATGGCCAGGCGATAAAATCTGAAGATGATTTCTTCACAAACCCTGTAGTGAAGGGATACTACAAAAACCACATCAAGGTAAACGATTCATTTCTAGCTATTAATTAATGTTATATATCGTGCCACAATTTTTTTTATATTAAGCCCCTTTTGTCCCTATTGGAAGAATGAGTTGAAAAAAGGACAGGGAAGTATGGTTATGAACTTTCCGACAACCTAGTTTTTAAAGGGACTCAAGAATAATATATTCGCTCTTAAGATTGTTTAGACGATAATTAAAGACCTAGTTATATTTAATATAATCAGAAACTAGATATATTTTATTAAATTAATGTAAAAATGTCATCAAATATTCTGCTTCACTGTTTGGTCTAACTGGTCAAATGTGAGGGTATGATGATCCACTGAGCCTCACCAGCTTTTGTGATGGAAGTTGCTCTGAGCGCTTAAATGTTTCCCACCTAATAGCTGGAAGTAACCAACAATCAATGAACCATATTACAGAGCCTTACATGTAAAAGAAAGTTGCTACTCATACACATAATTAATTTTTATATCAATTTTGATTTTTATACGCTTATAAAATATATTTACCTCTATGTTATTTTTCTGTCTGTTATGTCATATCACTTATCTCTTGTACACTATGTACTAATCTCACCATCTGAATGTTCCACACATGTACTCTGCTATCCATTAATCTTACATGCGTAAAGTGCATTTTTAGTCAAATATTATATTAAAATAACATCAGCGTGAGTTTGGCAGTCTTACTAATTATATATTTATAATTTTGATTTTTTTTTCACGTTGTTTTTATATTTTATTTAAACTTAATTTTTCTTTTTTCCCCTCGTTTTTCCATATTAATCTTCTGCCCCGTTTTAAGACGTTAGAGAAACATTATTTTATTTATTATGATTTTGCTACCTCAGCTACCCCTTATGACAACATTTGTACGACATATTTTCCACTGAAAAGGGTATATAACTGGCCTAATATTGGAGATTTTTTGTGTTATAGAGTGTACTCACAAGATGTAATAACTTCACTGGAGTCGCTTACAAAGATGATCCAACTATAATGGCTTGGGAGCTTATGAATGAAATTAGATGCTCTTCAGATGAATCAGGAAACACGGTTCAGGTAACTATTATTGTGATACTCAATTATATATCTATATGACACCATTTTAAGCTTCATTTTTATGAACCCACCTATATCCTTGGGATTTTGTTTAATCATTTACCTTCGTACGTAAGAGTGAGAATAATTGAGGAAATAGAAAAATGAAAGTGAGGATTGCCTCCAGACAATGACATGTTGTGTTTAATTGCGTTTCCATTTTCACTCATGTTTCAACTTTTCATTCATACTCCTATTAATTTTTTTTAGCCTATTACGAGTTCTACGACCAAGTGTAACTACTTATGAATGAGAAAATAGATATCTTTGGCACTTTCGTCAATGTTAGGTTTGCAATTAATATATGGAAAATGGGGTAAATTTAACAAAGTTATGTCCATTAATATTTTGTTAGGTATTCAAGTTTAATTGCACGATAACATAGTTCGTATTTTTAGTAAATTTCTTTGCTAATCACTGTTTCGCATGATACTTTCTGCATCACTCATACAATACAACATAGTTTTAGCCCTATGTTTGGTGTAAAGCATATAGTAGGGGTAATTAAGTATGTTTTTAAAATTAATTCAGTCACTAAGAAAGTTAACATCTGTCAATTTTTCACTTTACTTGTGTCTAAGCATTTAGTAATAAGAAAATGGACGAGTGAAATGAATTTTGAGAGGAGAGACCTTGTGGTAAAGAAGGGACCTTTTAAGTTCCAATTTTTCTTTTATAAATAATTACAAAAATATCATTTTTGTTTCTAATTTTCAAAATTTTATACGGTATATGGTGAGAACAACCATTGTATCATAATTGTGTCTTATATAAATATTTGAAAATAGGAAAAAGTAAATTAAGATGACCCTGTGGAATTATTTGTGAAAATGTAACATTTTTTTCTCAAAATTTTTGGTCAAATTTTTTTTCTCAAATCAATTGAGCTTTTCTGTACATATAAAACCAAATGGGCTTTTAGAACTTCATGATATTTATAATTTTGTTTTCAAACATTGAAATAGATAATTGAGTTTAATTTTCCCCCTTTGGCAGGCTTGGATCACTGAGATGGCATCTTACTTGAAATCCATAGATGGAAACCACTTGCTAGAAGCTGGTTTGGAGGGCTTCTATGGGCCATCGAAGCAAGAGTCTAATCCGAGCTTCCACGTTGGAACAGATTTTATTGCAAACAATCAAATCCCTGACATAGATTTTGCAACCGTTCATTCATACCCTGATCAATGGTGTGCAATTTTATCTATACTCTTTAAAAATAATATTAAAAATTAATTACATTCATGCATCATTATTGTTTGGCAATTCTTATATTTTAAGACACTTTTGTTATTTAAATAACTGAAAATAATTTTTTAAATATAGACTTGCATATAAAAAATACAGCCAAAGTTAAAGGAAATAAATTTTATAAGGTTTTGTTTGGGAGTTTGGAGAAGAGGAAAGGAAATGATTTGAAGGAAAAGGGAGGAAAAGAGAACAGAAATGTCTCCAAAGTTGCAAAGAAAAAAAAAAATTTCTAATGTGAAACTACTAAACTAGAAAGGTGTAAATCTTTTGGTGTATAAATATTTCATGGTAATGCTGAATTGGTTCATATTCCATGATCAGGCTACCAGGTTCAAGTAATGAAGATCAAATCTCATTTTTAGACAGTTGGCTGAATGACCACATACAAGATGCACAGAACAAAATTCAGAAGCCAGTTCTGTTTGCAGAGTTTGGGGTATCAAAGAAAAATGTGAGTTCTGACTCAAATATAAGGGACCAGTTTTTCAACATGGTTTATTCTACAATCTATTCATCAGCAAGTGATGGAGGAGCAGCTGTTGGTGGCTTATTTTGGCAACTTTTAGCCCAAGGAATGGATTCTTTTCGAGATGGTTATGAGGTAATCTTAGATGAGAGCCCCTCAACTGCAACCTTGATTGCCCAAGAGTCTCAAAAGCTAAACCAAATCCGGAAGGTGTACCCCAAAATGAGATATTTTAAGCAATGGAATAAAGCAAGGGAAGTTAGAAGCTCACAATGGCAAAGTGGTGCTAACGAAGGAAACTGAGACTAGTCTTGAGAACTCATTTATGACTAGATATATCTTCAGAATGTCTTAGTCACAGTAATTCAAGAGGACAGAATAGTGTATGTCCATAGCCTTGTGTTACATTGTGTTATTAATATAATGCCCTTTAATCTTAGATATATAAAATTATCATCAGCATATGAAGGATAGCTTGATTGAAACAAACAAACAGGAACTATTTATTCCAAAACTGAGAGTTCTTAATTGTGAGTAACTTGAATGTACAATGGAGCATTTTTCTAAACTTTCATTACACTAATATATCAGCAAAATAATTTTAAAGTAGCTTTTGTCATCATCTCCTTCAAATCACTTTTCCATCTTTAATTGTTGCATTCTTGGGTATAACTACGATGCCAGACCTAATGTAGAATCCTTCCTTAGGCCTGTCTGCTTCTTGAACACCCTGAGAATAACATTTTCATTATTAAAACAGAAGAGAAGGGTAGAAAATAAAATACCAAGAGCAAGAAACTCTTGCAGCAGTTTCCACAGTAAGGTTTTTGAAGCAGCACTTACTTCACCATTTGAAATAATCACATCTCTTCCTATCTTGGCATTCTTGTCGATTATACAATTCCTTCAAAGATGTCGGAAATAAGAAGGAATTAGAATGAAAAACTTGGAAATGGGCGCTAACTAATTTGAAGTTATGATGTGAGTGATGACTTTAACTTGGACTAATATTACATGTTAGACAAGAATATAGATTTGGGGGGATTCTAATGAATGCAACAGGGTTCATTAAGGGACATCAAGGCACCTGATTTGGGTATTCTCTCCAACACCAACTGGAACTTTTGCCTCTGCCAGCAGAGATGCAATTTCAGAATCAGTTTGATAGTAGTCAGCACCCATCATCATGGTATCCTGGATAGCCAAGCCAATAAAGTACATTCATCACATTTGTGTCAAAATAGAATATGTATAAAAGTTTACAGCTCAAGGAAAATATGAGAGGTAAAATGTTAATGTACTTGAGGAAATTTTAAGGTTCATTGCTAAAGATTTTACATCTGTGGAAGTACACCCGTTGAGAGTAGTAAAAAATAGATCCATCAAATCTATGATTATTGAGACTAACCAAATATTAATGGGATTGCAAATTATAGTAAAGAGAATTAAAATATAAAGTAAACGAATGGAAAACAAAGAAAAGAGACAAAATTAACAAGCACTCAAGATTAATAATTTATAATTAGGCCTGGGACTTTAGTTTCACTTCTTCATCTTTCCTCTCTCGTATCTTTTCATGGATTGATCTTTGACCATATGCCTAATTGCTCATTCCAAATTTACTATTATCGAATGATCATGTAATAGTATCATTTTCTCCCTTAATTAATGTGTTCATGTGCAAAATGCAGTTTCCTCTTACCCCCACCAATTTTCAATTTCAAGTGCTAACCAAATTCATTGGTAATCTGTGAAATTGTGAATTATCTATTCTGTTCGATAAACGTTCACCGGTACATATTTAGCAAAGTACAAAATGTATTAAGCTTACCTGAAGCGATGAACCGAATCCTATACGTGAGCGCACGCCAATAATAGAACGTTGAACTCTACACGTGCTCAAGAAGCAACCGTGAGAAATAATTGCATCCACAATCTGTGAAAACCCAATCAAGCATTCATCTATCTTGCAAAATCAACAAATCAAACTAGTCAAAACTTTCTGTCGTACCTTGCTTTTTGTTACTTTAGTGGGTGGTAGGTATCTTGGAGAAGTGAAGAAAGGCGTGTTTGGATCATAGAATTCAAATTTTGGAGACTGCAAATAATAAAGTATGGGATCAGCAAATGTAATAGTAGCATTAATTTTCTCAAATATTATCTACTCCATTATTATTAAGATAATTGCATTGTGTGATACATGTGTAGCCGATTTTACATTTACTGAGATAAGGCTGAATTGTTGTCGTTATTGTATTATCAAGTCCATTGTTATCAAGATTAACAACACAAACTTGGGTATTATACTAGTTCTTCACGTCTTCTAAACAGTGAAAGATTTCCAAGTTTTTATGCATCATATTATGCTTTCATCATCTCTGAAGATTCCAATTGTTTTAAACTCTTTAAATTTAATTGTGACTAACTTTCTAGTCACACATACCTAAGCTTCCAATTGCACTGAACAGCCCAAATTGGCTGAAATAACAACTTAATTAAGAATTAAATGTCGAGGAAATTTGCAGGATAGGTCAACTAACCTGTTCTGTTAAGGCCAGATTTGCATCAAAGAAGGACTTTATAGTTCCAATATCTTTCCAATAGTCCCTGAACAAATATGCCTGAAAATACAGATAGAAAAAAAAAAAAAAAAACATTAACAACCGAAAGGAATTTATTTTCATTAGCATAATAGCATTAAAATCCATGTTTTTGGATTCCCTCTCACTTGAACTTTGTGATCCCGCAAAGCAGATGGGATAATTTCAGATCCAAAATCATTGCAAGAAGGACAGCTCCATCTTAATAGTTTCAGCAGGGTTTCAGTTCTAAATACATAAACTCCCATTGATGCAATGTAAGAATGTTCCTTTGCTTCTTCAGCTGATAACCCCAAGATAGTGGTATCAACATGCTGCATGCAGTTATTAAACATGACAACGGATTAAATCACAACAATCCATATTTGTTGAGATGAAAGGGATGTAAAATGTGAGAGTTAAGGGATCAAGATACCATTTCCTTCAGATCTGATCCCTTTGGTTTTTCAGCAAACTGAGTAATCCTTCCCTTTCTATCAATTTTCATCAGCCTATATTCTGATGCACGGCTGGTAGATAACAAACATTGATCAACTCCAAAAGCAATGTATAACAAAATAAAGATTATTGTAAATTAAAGACATTTTTATTCTTACATCCAAGGTGGCATGCCTTAATTGTGAGAAATCAAACCTAACCAAGCAGATTTTGTGAAGAGATATGCATACCTTTCATCCATAGGTACACATGAAACTGTGATATCAGCATTTGTCCCAATGTGTTTCTGCAAGTACACTCCTCATCAGTTAGTAATAGATATAAAACTATATAATACAAAATATAATCATTGATGATAAAGTTATCTTAGTTTTACCTCTACAAACTTCATATAGTCCATCCGGCAAAGGTGATCACCAGAAATTATCAATATATGCTCAATGTTTTTGTTCTTGGCATCCTGCATGGTAATTCATACACATTCATTTCATGGTACTATACTGATAATTTTAGCACATATGTAGCATACAAAATACCTACCTCAAAAACCCATGTAAATTGTCTCACTGCATCAGCTGTCCCTTGGAACCATTTCTTCCCTGCCTCTCCAGGGGTTTGAGTAGCAGCCAAGATCTGTTCCAATTCAAATTATGCCTCCTTAGATCAATAACATAGCTTAACTCATAAATGTCCTCAAACTTCTTCATAAAAACCATTTCCTAGAAGAAAATAAATCTCGCATTTTAGAAACGTAACTCCCAACTTACCTCCATAAAACCATCTCCAAAGTTCACACCGTTTCCAAAATTATACGTGCGAGACAGGTGGGCATTGAGGGAGAAAGAGTTGTACTGTGTTAGAACATACACTTTTCTGATGCCACTGTTGATGCAGTTGCTCATAGGAATATCTACGAGTCTGTAACACCCACCAATTGGTACCTAAAAACATGATGAAAATTAACATTTCTGAATACTTTCACCACTCCTACCATTTTATAGTAATCAATTTAAAAAAAATGATATGAATCAATAAAACATACAGCAGGCTTAGCTCTTATGCCTGTAAGAGGAAAGAGTCGAGTTCCTGCACCTCCACCCAATATGATGGCAGCTACATTATCTGGATTCGCTTTTGGAGTCTGAAAAATGGGTTCCTGGATTACCTGAAATTAAAATCCAAACGCAGCAATACAGTTTAGCATCCAAAAGGATCAACGTAACAAGCAGCAACAACAACAAAAGCTTTATCCCAGTCAGCTATAAAAACCAAATGCCTGGAAATATTATTAACCCTTAGATTCCTTTTAACGATTTCTTCCAAAGTTCTTACCAGCAAACAAAGCAACACTAACAAAAAAAAAACTTGGCATTGGCACTGACATGTCAATCAAATGAATAAAAATATCACACATAAGCGCACAACAATAATCTCAGTTTTTCTTAATTAGATATAGAGAGACACAGACATACACGTGAGAAAAAGTTCGCATATAGTAATTACCAGAGACTCTTGGTTCACGTCTGGTGTGTAAACAGCACATGCAAAGCCAGGCTTGAACTTCATAGTTTTTGAAGTCTTGCATAACCGAATACTGCAAAACCTGTTGTCAATACTTCCCCTTGTATTCTCACGCCAGAACACGCTTCTGTTTGTTCCAACCCCTTTAGTAAATAGATTAGCACTTGCATTCAGGGTAGCGATAGTTCCATCCATGACTCTTTCAGTGTCTCTAGTGGACAGTGTTGGTAAAAGTGAACCTTTGTGATTACACAAAATCCCAGTTTTTTCAAGACAAGTGTTAAAGCATGAACTGAGCATTGAGATTATGATTGATATTAGGGTGCTTCATATTTGACATGTGATTTTAATAAAAATGATAGTGAGAATAATGATATGTGGTGAAAATGGTAGCTGATATGGTGCAATGAGAGTGCATTCAGCATTAGCGAGGATGATGGAGTGAATGAACTGTCATTACCAACGAGAAACCTGCCAAGTCTCTCTGTTTCATTAGTCAGCAGATGCTACAAATTCATGTTACTTGCCATTAGAATCCGTAAAAAACTTGCACCCATTTTGACGTGTTCTTACTTCTTAGTTTCTTACTTTCTTGTTATTTTTAATATTTTATTTATGACATGTAATATTTTCTCAATAAAATTTTAAAATAATTTTTATTACGATAAATTTCTCTTTATTTCTTTCTATTACACCACTCATCTTATCACTTTTTTCTCTTTTCAATTTGTAAAAAAAATTACATGTTTATTGTACAATCATTAATTTTTGTCAAGATACAACTTTCATTTCTCTTTGTTAAATCTTGACTTGATGTTCTTACTTCATATGATTATTATTGAACTTAGAATGAGTTAAACATATCATTTCAAAATTTTATAACTCTAAACATCCAAACAGCATCATTACCTGTTTAACAAAAAATTATTAAATGATCCAGATTTATCACGTGTTTAAGATTCTAACAATCATTACATGATATTTAATAGAATTTTAATACAATTGAGACTACTATAAATTAGTTAACTAAAATAACTAATAATAAATTAAATAATCTAATGTTGAGTTAGATTGGGTTAATTTAGTTTGCTTAATTAAAAGGCTACTTCATCTTTAGAACAAATGAACATTTCGACCCTCATCATGAATTAGATATAGACATTTTAGTTAGTCTAGAATAGAATCGAAATTGTTTATTAATATAATATTTAATCTCCATTGTATATTATGAGTATGCCTTAAAATTCCTTAAGTATGTTATGCGAATGTACATACAACCTTCAATTTTGAAAACGAAATAGGAGTTTAGCCAATGGAGAAGGAAACTTATGTAAAACATGTTCAATACATGTGTTTCGCGTTGTATTATATTTGTAATAAAAGAGTGCTTCCTTGGGGATAAAAGGCGAAGACCTAGAAATGTGAATAATATTATTTAATAAAAATATTGTAATATTTTGCTAAGAGGGTTTAACAATCTTAGACACATATAAAGCAAATGATTGATAACGTACCTTAAAAAATGAACGGCGAGTGTGTATGCATACAGTTGTACCGTAAATTTGCCTTGAAGGACATTGAATACTATCTTTAAATTTATTATTATAATTTTGGTGAAGATTGTCGAGACTTTTCCTTCAAACACAGCAAGTGTATTGAGTCTGTTGCAAGTAATAATCGGTACAATATCGGAGTATCGTCCTCATAAAGCAATTCAAACGTATTAATTATAAAAATAAAAATTAATTGAGCTTATATACAACAGAATTTATTGATGATTTTCATGAATTGTTGAATAACAATTAAAATATAAAATGATAATGTAAAATATAGTAAAATTCAAGTTTAAGAGACTGGGATTGAATTTCATCTATCTCCATTTCTGCATTCTAGTAATTTAATGATAAATATAGCAATCATTTCCAACAAATTTGATGCAAAATACAAAAGTCATATATTTCAAGTCCTTGAAAATATATTTCTAAGATAATTTCTTAAATGTTGATTCTTCAAACAGTTAACAAACTATCCAGCATTAAAATTAGGATTTAAAAGCAATCAATAACTTAAAATCTATTCATAGAGTAACTAGTTATTGAGTAATCTCAATTAGATCTAAATCTAAGTAATATTTTTTCAAAGACTAAACTAGCATTTTAGTCTCTGAGAGAGTTTGAGTCCAGCATTTTAGTCCCTGAAACATTTAAAATATCACATTAGTCTACAACTTCCTTCTCTGTTGTGCATTTTAGTCCCTGACGTTAGACCCCGTTAAGATACCGTCACAGAAGGCTGAGCTGTCACGTTAAGTGCTACATCAGAATCCTAGTTGGTAGCAACGACGTCGTTTTGGAAACTGGCGTGACACAGATAATTGCGAAACAGTGTCGTCATTGAAACCCTTTTGCCCAAATTGAATCAAACATATCATAATATATGTTGCGCCGTTGGTCTTCTTCCACTATTAGGGTTAGGGTTTATGGTTGCAATTGGGTTACTTGATTTTGTTGGGTTTCTTTCGTTCCTCTATTGTTAAGTTCCTTCCTTCTTTGCACGATTTGGGTTTCCAATACTTTATATGGCTAGTAATAGCAATAGAAGCCCTCTGATGAGTTTTGCTTCAAGGTCATCATCAGAAAAAAAAAAAAAAAAAAACGAAATGGCAAGATTTGTCATTGTGGGTTGAAAGCAGCTGTTAGAATTTCACAAATAGAAGCTAATCCTAGAAGATTACTCTTTGGATGTCCCAAATATATAGTAAACAAAGTTAATTTATTGTTGTGTTCAATTTCCATTTCTAATAAATTAAATTAAATTACTTCTTACACATGATGTAGGTTGGTGAATATTACAATTATTTTGCATGAACTGATGACAAAAATAGCATGGAGGATAGTTATAATGCTGCTAATTATCCAACCTCTCAAGTAACGTCTCCTCTTACAAGTGCAGCAGTTGTCAATGAAGAATGGATGAAGAATTTGGCTGCCAAAATAACATGTTTAGAGGCTGAAATTAAGAAATTAAAGTTGTTTGTACAAATTATTTGTATTTTGATGTGTATTGTCATGTACTTTGTTGTAAGATAATGATAAAATTTTATTTTAATATTAATAAAGAATGCTTTTGTAATCATTGTTGACCCTCATTTTGTTTATATTTTACTGAAAAAATTGATGAAAAGAAGAATGAAACAGAGTAATTTTTTAGCCTGTTCTGTCAGGTACTGATAAGTGATAACTGTGTACATAGCAAATAATAAATACGCCATCTTAGGATGTGTGATAGCAATAGCTTATGTTTGCTGGAAAATATCTATTTGCAATTGGACAAGTAGTAGTAATTTAGAGGCTATATGAATTTGCAATTTAGAATGCATTATAAGTGGATCAAATATGTGTAATTTGAAAGGAAAGAGGAGAGCACTAAAGAAAAAAAATATTATTTTTTCATTGAACTCTTTTATCATTTGATAGATGACATATTGACACAGATAGAGTTTTAAAGCAATTCTAAGTCATAACACTTCAGTGGAAATAAATTTGAACAGTTCTCGCCAAAGAAAAATGAAACATAGAACTAGAGATTGCACATTCCCATACAAGGTGCTTGAAGACTTTATCCTTCCATTGCTTACAAAAATTTTTCCATAGATGTCACACACAAAACCTATGGTGTGCACCTGGCATCAGTTATTGCAAAGCTAAAATCAAACCCTGCAGTAAAATACGAAATTCATTTTAGTCCTTAATATAATAAAAATCATGCAATTTAGTCTCTAACTGATTTATTATTAATGCAATTAAGTCCCTACCCATTTTAAGTAATGAGTAACTTCATCCTACGTAGATGTTTATCCTCCTGGGAAGAACCTCTGGTGCTATATTAGCTGAAGTTCTAACTATTCATTTAGGTCATGAATGAAGCAAAGACGACTAAACCACAAATAACAAACATTCAGAAATATAAAATAACATTTCAATGGAAATAAATCATTAAAATGACAACTTGTCCAATCAAAATAACTATTCCAAATAAAACATGTCTAAATGATAGAAGTCTTACATAATACAAACTTGTTACATAAAAAATAATGAAAACAAGTAATATAATCACAACAACTCATTCTGCAGTCCTAATTCCAAGTGTTGGCATGAAATGTGCAGCTTTTGTAGAGTCATCTCCCTTTTCATTTGGTGAATATGGTGATAGACTTTTTTGCTGAGTTGATGTGGGAATATTTGTAGCAGTTGACCTTGTCATAATGGTTAATTTAGGTGTAATTATACCTCTTTTTTCTTGTGGTACTACATCTATTGGCTTTTGTAGGTACAGTAGAAGATTGTTGTGTTGGGACTTCTTCTGCAGGTATGGTGATAGACTGCTGTGTTGAGTTGTTATTTTGAGCTTGAGAGTCTTCCATTCTTTGCTTTTTCAGTACAGGACAAGTCTGTTTGTTGTGGTTTAGAACTCCACAACATGAACACCTAACCTGTAGCAATTTTCTTTTCAATTTATATTTCTGTGAATTCTCAGTTGTTTGCTTTTCTTGTTCATCTTTTCTTTTTTACTTCTTAGGTCTGTCTACAGTCCTCTTAATAGTTGGTGGTAGTGGTGGAATTAGCTCACTTTTCTCCCAAAACTCTTGACTTTGTAATGGTTGAACATGATATTCATAGGTTGCACGACATGCTTCAGTTGTTAATGGTAGTAATCTTCTAGTCTCTCATTTTTATATGTTATTGTAGCAATAGCATGCATACAAGGCATACCTGTAAAAATTATAAATAAAAAAATATTTGTTTTCATCGTATGTTGCATATTCATATGAATTTAACACATTAGCCATCATATAGAATTAACCAACCTGTTAATTGCCAAAATCTACAAGTGCATGTGTGGCTACCTAAGTAAACAACAACCTTAGTTGTGGAACATTGCACTTCAAATTTATGAGTATCATCATCACCTATGATAGAAGTTTAGTTAAGACAAATTTAATGTTATATTACTAAAAATTATCAGAAAATTAGGATTATGTTTACCTGCCCATATTGGTGTCCACTTAATACTTTGTTATTTTAATTTCTCCAACCTACTTTGTTGTATAGGAGGCAACTGACATGCATGGGCTGCCAACTTCAACTTATTAGTACTAATTGTTGTCATAATGTAGCATCGAACTTCTTCCAGCA